CTGCAAAGAGAACAAACCTATCCATTCTAAAAGAAATCAACCCTGAGTGCTCACTGGAAGGACAGATCCTGAAGCTGAGGCTCCAATACGTTGGCCATCTCATGAGAAGAGAAGACTCCCTGGAAAAGACCCTGATGTTGGGAAAGGGTGAAGGCAAGAGGAGAAGGGGACAACAGAGGATGAGACGGCTGGATAGTGTCTGCGAAGCAACCAACATGAATTTGACCCAGCTCTGGGAGGCAGTGGAAGACAGGAGGGCTGGCATGCTCTGGTCCATGTGGGTCACAAAGAGTCGGACACGACTAAACAACTAAACAACAACAACTTTATAATCAGAGTAATGAGCTTTCCTGCAAAGAATGGTACAGTATTCCAAAGACCTAGGAGTTAGGATATTCACATGAAGCCATTCAAATATGTCATTTTTTTGGAAATATGAAGCCTGAGTTTGCACAGTGGCATCAGCAAGAAGGGTCATCATGGTAAGGGGTTAACGCAGTAAGCATGTCTGTCTTCTCTTTTTTCAAGATAACACACAACCCGCCCATTTCTCCCCCTTTTATCTACACAGCATGTTGGCTGGGATGAACGGGCCCTGAAGGCCAGAACATGTAGAGGGAATCGGGTTAGGACAAGCCGGTCTGGCCACTACTTTCCCTTTAGAACAGGGATCTCAAAACTTGGATCCCCGGGTGTTCTTGGACTAAAACTCCCAAAAGCCTATGCTGTGCTGGCCATGATTTCTGGGAATTGTAGTCCAAGAACATCTTGGGACCAAGGGTTGGTAACCATTGATCTTGAGTACAGAGCAAAAATGTATATTGTCTGCGTGGCAAATAGGAGGCCACTCCGCTGTGCTTTTTAGAGTGGTAGGTAAGTTCTGAGCCAAAGTAGTTTCCAACCATCCTTTAGACGTGGAACTCTTTGGGCCAATCATGATCTTGTAAATTGACCTGCCTCACAGGGCTGTCATAGGGATATATTAAGGAAAAGAAGAACCTTGAACTCATTGGAAGAAAGGAGGGATAGAAATGTAGTACACATATGAAATTATGTGATTAGTTGAGGACACAGCTTGGAAAAAACAATACTGAGGCTAGCAGAATGTCCAGACAGCACAGCCAAGCCACTGGCTTTGATATCAACAAAGAGAGAACAGAGAACACATTGATACAGCTTCTTACCACGTTTTGCTAGGGAAGAAACACTTCCTTGTTTTTAAAAAGCATTTCCAGCATTTTTTATTTTAAAAAAAAAATCGCAAAGTGTGCTGCTTATATACTGCCCCACAGTGTTTACAGCACTCTGCGGATGGTTTACAATTGGTGGTGGCAGTTAGAAAGCAAAAGGGAGGAGAACTAGCCACCCTTAAAACAGCTTATTGAACTCGTGGCCACCTGAAAAATGGTGAAACACGAGTCCATTTTTAAAACCATCCACGGACGGGTACATATTGCTCCATCCCAAACGATGTTCAGGAGAAGAGTTTTCAGATGCAAAATAACATGCTTTTTTTTCACTCTGGAAAAATGGTGAATATGCTGAAAATCAGATTAGAGGTCTACAAGGTTCCAAACATATGTTTCGCTACTACCGCACAACTCGCCTCTAGACAGGAGGGAGCAAAGAGGTCTGCCGAAGTGTTCTTAAGCTTCTGTCCATTCAGCCTCCAGCTGGAGATCAATGCGTTTGTTTGGGCACGCTGACATGACGTTTGACCTGCATTAAGACAATAATCTTCCTCAGTACGGCACGTTCCAGTAAAGTTAAAACCTTCATATCTGGTTCATTTGGTTCCCACATGCTGACCAAATGGCACCTGAAGGCATCAGGAACACACAAAGCCATGGAAAAGAAGATCAGCCGCATCCAACCAAGCAGATCCAGCAAGCAGCTGCACATGCACACACCGGGCCTGAGGTAATGGTGCAAATCCACACCTGGAGGAGCTTTCAGCTGTTTCAGATGAGTTAGCCAAAAGCTGATTATGCCCCATAAATCATCATCAGAAGAGCTGATAGGGATCATTAAGTTCAGCCCCGTCAAGAAGTCACAACGGGGAGTAGAACTCCCAAACTCTAGCTATGCATCCAGAGACCTAAAACACTAAGTTACTTGGCCGTTCAATTGATCTCCAGTAAAACTTGGCTTTGAGAGCAAGGCTGATGTTGTACACAGGTTTCACAGAGTTGCTCAAGAAAAAGAATGGTAACCTACAACATTTTTGGCATTTGCTAAATTTATGT